CAGGAATCACTAGTGCCCCATTGTGCCCACAGTGGGATGGGCTGGGGGGCTGCAGCGACACACCTGTGCGGGGGTCGCCCCACGCCAGCTCTGGCAGAGTGGGCCCACTGGCCTGTTGGAATGCTGGTGCCCCGCCACGGCCCTTGGCAGTCCCACTGGTCCCGCTGGCTGTCCCGCTGGCCATCTGTGTGCCAAGCCAGGGTCTCTTGATACCTGGGTGGGACAGGGGCCAACTCACACGGCTCCTCTTCCCGTAGTCTGCAACTTCATGTCCCATGAGAAGTGTCTGAAGCATGTGAAGACCCCCTGTCCCAGCATGGCACCCAGCCTGGTCCGAGTGCGTATGGAGCGTGAGCTGGGCATGGGGCAGAGGGGCCCTCAGGGGAGGCTCTTATGACAGGTCCCGAGCTGGTGGTCAGGCCCGGGGCTCGGTGGGTGGGAGTGGTCCTTTGTGCTGCCCACTGCATCCCTGCGCTGGGAGCCCCTCCCCAAGGTGGCAGCTGGGCCTCCCTGCCTGCCAGTCCTCAGCTGTTTCCTCCTAGGCCCCCTCCACCTGCTTCGACTGGGTTGGCCCACATGTACTACTGGGGAACAGGCCTGGGGGAAGCGGCCAGTGCGACTGGAGCAGGTCCAGAGAAGGACCAGCAGGGCTGTCACCTGCAGGAGGGGCTGCCCGAGACTGGGGTGGGGGAGGGGCAGCGTTGGTCCTGCACAGAGAAGCTGGGGAAGTGGGGGCAGTCGCCAGCTTGCCCCCTGGCAGCACGTGTAAAAGTGCGTGACCCCCGCTCCAGGAGTCAGGCGGGTGGCGGGATCTCGATGTGGAGGGCTGGATGAGCGCTGCAGGCACCAGGACTGAGGCACAGGTGCCTTTGCTTCCTCCAGGTCCCCGTGGCCCATTGCTTTGGCTCCCGCGGGCTTTACAAGCGCAAGTTCTGCTCCGTGTGCCGCAAGTGCCTGGAGGCGCCCGCGCTCCGCTGTGAAGGTACCGCAGGGTGCTGGTCTCTGGCCCTGCAGCAGGCTGGTCAGGGGTGGTGGGCAGGAGGCGCAGGGGTGGCCTGGGGGGCCCGGCAAGAGTCTTCTAGATTCTAGAGCCGCGGGAGCAGGAAGGCGGGTGCCGGGGCGCTAGCAGCGTGTTGAGCTGAGTAGGGCAGGGAGAGGCGCGGAGGGGTGGCAGCGGTCCCTGCCCCGCACTTCGGGGCACAGGAAGGTTAGACAGCGTGGCGGGGGCGAGGGCGGGAAGGGGGCAGGGGCCGGGGGAGCAGCGAGAGGCCCCTAACCCTGCCCGCCCCCCAGTGTGTGAGCTGCACGTTCACCCCGACTGTGTGCCCTTCGCCTGCAGCG